CCTGCTGGTATTTGTCGACCATTTCTCGAAATGGATCGAAGAGTATCCTTGTCGCACGCGGCAAGCTACAGAAATCGCGCGATATATCAACCGTTTCCTTGGGATGCATCAAGATATGGAGGAAATCCTAACCAACAATGGGGCTGAATTCAGGGAAGAAGTGTTAAGGAATCTGGTCCTACACGGCGTCGCCATACGGAACACTGCACCTCACATGTCACATTCCAACGGGCTGGTCGAAAACGCTAACCGGGTGATAAAGACAGCGTTGTGACGAAGCATCGCAGCACGGGATCCGAGACCTTGGCCCGATATCGTCGATCACATCTTGGCGGTCCATCGCGGACCGCCACACGAATCGACAGGGCTAAGCCCCTTCCAATTAAGGACCAATAGTGTCGCTTGCGTTTCGATACCGAGCCTCCCGGATGAGACTACATTAACCCGACGGCCCACCACGACCACGGCTCGGGACAAGGCCAAACGACTCCTAGAATTAATGGAACGGTCGCTGCCCAGGCTAGCCCGAAAGCGACAGAAAATTACCGAACTAGCCCACGGCCGACAGGTCAATAGCTACGAAGCCTGAAATGGGAATGCGGGTCCGCGACCCCAGTACAAATTGGGGGACGTGGTGCAGGTGAGGAAATGTGCTCGCCAGGGTAAGCTAGCGCCACGATTCTTTGGGCGATATCGCGTGATCGAGCTCGGCCCCAACGGCGTGGACACCGTGCGCCTCGCCCCTGATGTCTCTGGCAGTCGATCGGCTCGTCCGATCACACACCACGTGTCCTATCTCCGCCCCCTCCCCTCTGCTCCGACTCCTTCTCCCCTTTTTCTCTCTCTGAGGAAGCCGAGGACGACGGCTCTGCCTCTCCGACATCTCCCTCATCGTCTTGCTCCCTCTCTGCCTCCCCGTCACCATCGCCATCGCCATGAGTTTTCTGGAGGAGAGAGCCCTCAGCGAAGCAGCGTTTGCGCCCCGTGATCGACTGACAATCCGACAGGTCTATCATCCCTACCTCAGTCCAGACCTTCGGCGACTTGCGCACTTCTTCTGCACGGAAGGGGTATACGTGGCGGCAGTGTTCAAAATAGAAGGTTGACCCAACGCAAAGGTATTGGCCGAGGCAGTAGCGGTTCATCAGCGAGTGGTACCAGGTGTCAGCCGCATATCGGTTGTCATCAACTTCCGTGGCGATCTTTCCACACTCCTCCCTTTACGACATTCGGTGGCGAGGACATCGCTGCGCGCGTGGGCAAACGACCTGTTCGCCGAGTGGACCCAGCTTTTGGCTCGCCCCGGGGACACGGTCGCGACGACACGAGCAATCGAATACGATGGCCTTCGGATGTACCAATGTGATCCGCCGACGATCCTCCCTGTTGTTGTTCCTTTCCCTCGCCCCCAGTGATTCTTTCTCCGATCTCCATTTTTGCTCTCCCCTCCACCTTCCCCTGCCCTGTTGTTGTTCCTTTCCTACTGCCTAACGACCCTTGTTGTCCCCGACATTCGTCCCCCATACTGGGACCTGTGGCGCGAAGACTTCGTAGAGCTTTCACTGTGCTTGGTCGAAGTACGGCTGATGTGGATCGAGGACGAAGCGCACCCGCCTTGCATAGAGCGGCTAGAGTTGCTGTTTATCCAAGCTTGGCGCACCAACGTGGAGGGAGAGCTCCTCACATTCTTATTCGGTGCAGTACGGCCTGACCATCAGGAACTTACCACGCAAGAGCTCACGATCCCGGTAGCGCAGCTGGCGGACGACCTCCCTCTTGACATCATCTCGCAAGACGACGAGCATTCAGTTCCCCATGTCCTTTCCCGCACCTTGACACCTCATCTTTTGTGGTCGGCTTGCGTAGATGGAGCCACGGAATGCATCCCGCCGTCGCAGCGACAACATTTGGATCCTCGGGCGATTCGTGACCCTGCCTTCTTCAGGCAGCCTACGGCAGAGCAGCTTGCGGTCATCCAAAAGGAGGAAGAGGAGGAAGAAAGCACTGAGAGTGACGACGGGGAAGACGAGTGGGAAGAAAGTGAGGAAGGCGACGAAGTACTCGGGGAAGAAGACGAAATCCCCGAAGAAGGAAGCTATAGCGAGCATAGCGAGGGGGAGCAGAGTGAAGAAGAGGAAGAAGACGAAGAAGGAGAAGAAGGGCACAAAGAAGAATCTGCTCGACCAGAGTGGGAAGCCGTGCCGGAAGAAGCGCTGCGCACAGGTACAGAGGCAGAAGATCCCGAGGCGGCCCGTAAAAGGGAAGAGATCACGGCCGGGAAAACGGAGTTAGAACTTGCAAGCGCGGAGAGTCTGCAGATCTGCGACGACGCGAACCGAGATCCAGAGCCGCCCCAACCTGAAGATGGCAACCTCGCAGCCACGACTCTGGCCCCATCGGCAAGGCGACAAAGCTGATCCCCCCCCTCCCCAACCCGTCCTTCGGTTCGCCGACGCACCGATACGGGCGATCGGCCTTCGTCCCCAATTACTCTCTCGCCGTCCCCTTGACTACCTCACCCTTCGCCAGCTCACCACCCCCGTCACGTTCCCCTCCAATCCGTTCCCCCGTATTACCTTTGCCACTTCTACGCCGCTCGCCTCGCTGTCGTACTGCATCCCCATCCCTCCCTCCGGTGCGTCGTCCCCACCTTTTGCTTCCATGTCTTGCTTTTCAATGCCGCGTGGCGAGGCCACAATATGATTGAGGTTTATTGCGTAATAACGGGGACCATCCCCGCATGGGAAGATCGCGATCATTTTCGTGCGGCGCTCTTCCGAACCTTTACCACCCTCTACACTAACTATCTCGCATCCCTCTCTCGCACTGGCAATCGATTTCCCCGTTTCCACTGCATTGTCCGTTACCAAGAACTCCCGGAGACTGCAGCCGGGATGGAAAGGTTCCTGCCCCCGCTACCCCTAAGCCCTCCACCCCGCCATGCCGCCATGTACYRACTTCCTTTCCCCCTCCCGGTTAATTACTGATGCAGCAGGTAATGGACGCGTGTCGCGGTAACGGCACGAGAAAGAACCCGTCCTTGAATTGTCGAGAGCCCAATCCGAGGAGATAGTAGAAGAGCCGAGTTGCCACGTTGGATGACGTCCACACGCGATCAAACGGTAAGTGGCATAAAGAGAAGTGCTCCGCGTGTCGATCGATTAGAGAAATCGACACGTGTCAACAAGCAAGCAGGAGCTTGCTAATATTGGAACCCCCTAGGCGTCACATATGTGACGAACCACTTTCTGTAACGCGCGAGTTTCTGCGCGGTTGCAACGAGGGGTCCTAAGCTGGGAAGATTGGGCCGCTTACGGGAAATCGAGATCGGCTGAAAATTGCATCAGTACCCTTGCTTCTTCGTCTTTTTCGTTGCTTCTTCGGGGCTGGGTGTGTTCGGGGACGGCCGACTGGGCGATTGGTCGGATGGATGTCTGGCTCGCAACCACGCGCGCGATTAATAAATGTTGACGCCGTTTCTTTCATTTCGGCTTCGATCTTTTGGGAGTGGACATCGCGCGGGAAATTATTTCGTTCTTTTTGAATTCCCTTTTGAATCTTTTTCGAATTTTGTCGATCCCCGATTTGGCGGCGATGGCTCTCGGGATTTTGGACATTCTTTCTGGAATGTATGCTTTTCCGCACTAGATAGGAATTTAGGAATTCAGTAATTAGGACTTTCTCTGCCGCGCTGCGCCTTTTGTCTCCGCTCTTTTTCATGCGGCTGCAACGGTACTCTTATTAGTGGGCGCCCTTAATCGTGTGTGTGACTGCAATTTTGGACGGGAGCCATTGTAACTGTATCTTTCCTCTTGCACTTCGTCTCTCCCGCCCTCCCTCTCTTTCTTTTGCTGAAGTTCTGTAAGCCGTGGCTTGCATGCTCGGATCGTTGCGTGGAGAAGGGTTACGTCCCCCACGCCGCGGCCGATCATGCAGAACACACGCGTTCCCTTTCTTATCCTCACTCTAAGTCCTGCTAATTCCGCGTTCTTCACGCATGCAGACACGCTATAAATTTCAGCTGTGCGATCAGTCAGCTCTCTTGACCTGTTGTTGGAAGCTCGGGGTTGTGCGATCAGGAAGGGTTGGCACACGAGCAAAGTAAGAGGTGAGCAGAGTAGGAGTTGGGTGGCCCGACGAGCTGGTGCCTAACGCGCGGGATTGACGTGGGCCACAACGAACTGTGGGCACGGGCGAATCCGACGGGTGCGGGAGGACTAAGCGGGGTGACAACTTCGTGGGTGGGTACGTGACGACGGACTGTCCGCATCGAAGAGAGAGGGAGAAGGAGAGAGAGTTGAGGTCGATGGACGTGGGTTTGCTGTTTCTTTGTCTCTTCCCCCCCTTCGTMTGTGTACATACATTTTGATTACGGCTSCGGGCGATTTGCCCGTTCTTATTWTCATTTTCGGCTTTCGGGAACYRAGACTTGGGKTTTTGMTCACWCTTGTCCCTGCTTTTGTCAATCTCGATTGCGCAATGTGTATGATCGCTGAATGTATGGATGTAGGAATGYTATGCTTGCGCATSTACGTCACTGYAGAGAATCCYGGTYCTTACCTTTGTTTGTGTCGAACCTTTGCTCACACCTGCTGCAACTGTAAATGGATAAGGATCTGGCGCCGATAGCGATTTTGTCCTCGTTCTTGTTTACCTCACGATGGGGGGGGCGGGGTTATGATATGGTCGCATCTTGCATAATCCGAAGCAATTAAACGATATGGGGATTGACCCCACGAATGCCACGCGAGAATACGTGCGAACGCGATCAAAGTCGCGCCCTTACACGCATTCCCGTATGTCGATTCGCCCACCCAAGAAGACTTGAGGCTGAACAGTCATTCTGTACGAACATACTGAGGCGTCACTGAATCTGTCTGTCCTATACGTGTCTGTGCGCAGTGACGATATCCCAACCCGAGCTATCCCATCGATGATGATACCATGACGTGATTTTTGAACTCAGACTCGTCCTATGACCCGGACTATTTCACCCCTATAATAAACGAACCATAAGGACACGGTATCCTTGTCACCCGGAGAATCGGCTATGTCCGCGGGAATTCCACTGTGCCACCACTAGCGACCCTCGGTGCTCCGATCTCCCTTCCCCCGACCACACCTACTACTACACCCACCCAGGATTCGTTGAGATCACCACCTGTTTCCCTCCTTTCCGCCTCCTTCTCCCATATCATCAACTCARKRTCGTCCCGTGGCCCGCCATAACCCCCTACTGGCCTAATACGTTTTGCGTCAATTGTCGGCGTAGCGGCGGACAGAGAACTCCGGAATTTCGAAGGCCCAACCCGGGCGCGCGGCGACCGCCGCCACGTGGCGGTCCCCGACGGCCTAACTTTTCAGGACCACCCCCACCACGAAGGGACTTCCCCGTAACCCGTCACCCACCATGCCCTGGCCCCCACCAGACCGTGAGTCCCTTGCGCACGCACCCCTGACTCTCCTAATTGCATTCATACCCTTAAGACTCCCCCASTTTCCCCAAAAATCCTTGGCACACCCCTTTTCGCACCTCCACGCCCACATCCCACTCCGATCAGGAAGTCGCACCGGGCGTGAGGTTGGTATCGGAGCCCGACACGTGGCAAGGGTCTTAGGATTGATAGCACGTTAATAAGGCGACCTGGCTAACCGTGGGCGACCTCGCCCTCGGAACGGGTATAAACGCGACCCTATCGTCACCAGAAGCAGAGCGGCTGACCGACGAACAGCCAATATGGCTGCCAACGTGCAAATTCCGGCTCCGCAACAAAATGCTAATCTACCTAATCAACCTGCCCCACGTGCACGAGCTCCCATGTCGCCACAGATCTCTATCTATTCGATCCGGCGCACCAACTCGGAGAAGCATGGCTGGCCACGCTTAGAGTACAGCAGTACGATGATCACGAAGCACAGATCAACATTTCGGCTCGAATGGGAGGAGACGCTCATTATTGGTATAGTACCTATGTATGGGTGGATCTCCCGACCTTCGAACGGGATTTTAATGAACCGATTTGATTATGTTCACCCTGAGTAGGCATTGTACATGATCAAGGACCGAGTGCAAAAACCGCTCAAATCCGTTGCGGAATATCGAAACCGGTTCTACAGGATGTTCGTGAAAACTGAGCGAGGTGAGCAAGTAGGGAGGGATCTGTTCATTGACGGACTCCGCAGTCGAACAATAAGGACTAAGTTGCGAAAGCAGTTTTCTCCCATCACTCATACGCTACAACAAATTATCGCTGCCGCGGAAGAAATGGAACGGAAGTTCGCAGCGAACTTCGTGGAAGGAGAAGACTACCCTAGAGACGGAGATTTGACCGAGCTCGTACGAGCAAGAGCAGAACTGGCCGCTTTACAGAACAAATTTGAAAACATGGGATTTGTATCAGGACCTGTCACCTATATGGAACATATAGGCCCCAAACGAGTAATTCTAAGCGAGACTCCGAGCATCTCTGCTCCTATGATGCCCCCGCCCGTTTGGGCATTACCCCCACCGCCGGTTGAGGCTACTTTACGATCAAACGAATCGGCGGCTATTTTCGAACTAACCAAAACGTTGATTAGTTTGATCCAAGAAAGCAAAAAGGAATAGCGAGAGCACAATTCTCGGCTGGAAGCCATGATGACGAACATGCGACCTATCGCGGTGCGTGCCCCTCTGATACAACAAGGATTAGCCCCTGCCCCGGCTCTCGAAGGAGTTGCGAACAATCTGAATGTTTGTTATGCCTGTCATCAACCCGGACACCTAGCCCGTGATTGCCCCCACTGACCCCCGCAACAGCGGACCGGAGTCGCACCTATGGCTGTGGCCCCCATCGCCAACGGACGTGGACGAGTCGGAGCCTTGATGGAAGAAGTGGAGGGTGGGGGAAGTGCCTTGGCCACCACGGAAGAGGCCGCCGAGCTAATTTCGGTAGATCAGTATGTGTGGCTAGGATATCCTGGACTAGGAACGATCGGAACAATCAGACCAGCACCAGAACCGAAAGAAGCAGCGGAGTGGCGACCGTCCTTAGGAGAAATGGAGTCGGGAGGACCCACCTTCGTCACAGGAGAAATCGATGTATTAAACATTATCCGAGCTTTTGACCATCGGATTCCACTACCGATCGATCATCTACTCTCGATCTCTGAGCAAGCCAATGAGAGAATGCTACAGCATTGCAAAGCAAACCGAAAGCGGTTTGCCCTCGCCCGAACACCAAGTGCCAAAGCCATGGGCCCCGCGCCGGAAGAAAACCCAACAAGCACTCCGGACCCAATACGGGTGGGATTAATTCAGAAAGACGATCACTTCTTACGGATTAAACCGATTCCGTGGAAGTCCGCGGAATGTGATATTGAAGTTTGGGGAGTTCCTTACAACGCGATAATAGATTCAGGAGCCGCTGTGTTGGCTATCTCACTAAGAGTGGTCGAAAGGGCCGGTAGGAAAAACGACCTGATCATGCTCACCGAGAAAGATCAGCTCG